CACAGCACTCTACCCAGGGGGACAGCTTGAGGCTCTGTCTCAAAAAAAAAAAAAAAAAAAAAGAAATGGATTCTGAGTTAGAAGGGTGAATGTGAATTTTTATGCTACTTTTTGTTATTCAACTACATAAGAGGAATATAACTCTGGATATCTGCAACCCAAAACATTGTATACCTACCCTTTCTTTTGCATTCTGGTAACTTGTATTCATTCTGAAGCCATCAGGGAAATACTTACTTTAGTGACAAAAGGGAAAACCGGCTCTTAATTTAGTCCTTACAAACCTGGTCCCATGCTTACTGTGAGCAAATATTTAGCTTGGTATTTCAAATGAGGTCAATTTTGTCAACATAAAAATAGCTTACAAATATGGAATGCTGCCTTTAATCCTGCCTTCTTTATTTTCCATCATGAATAAAATGAGCCTCATGTGTTGTCTCTGAATTGAAATTCGCCAAGTTGAAAGTTTGTATTAAGGCTGTTACCTCTTCTCATCTCTTGCATATGATAATGTGTACATTTCCATGTTCCTCTATGCTACCAAACTATTTGGGGTCTTAGGATTACTCTTAAAAATGTATGGTATAAAATTCTGGCCACCTTTACTATAGAAAATTATCTCTTCTAAGTTATTTTCTATTGCTGTGTTTATGTAGATGTACACTGGAGTAAGAGTTCAATAAGGCTGAATCTAAGGCAATACCTATGTCAGAAGCTCTGAAAGCAGAGTAACTTTTTCCCCAAAAATAAACAAGTAAAAAGCAAAAAGACAGTTTCAAAGTATTTTGATAAAATATTTGGATTTCATTTATAGCATTATTGAGTATGTAAAATATGTCAAATGCTGTGTATTTCTAGATTACAGTTTTGTTTGTTTGTTTGTTTGTTTGTTTTGAGACAGAGCCTCAAGCTGTTACCCTTGGGTAGAGTGCTGTGGTGTCATAGCTCGAGGCAACCTCCAACTCTTGGGCTTAAGCAATCTGCTTGCCTCAGTTTTTTCTACTTTAGTAGAGAAAGGGGGCTGGGGGGGTCGCTTTGCTCAGGTTGGTCTCGAGCTCGTGAGCTCAGGCAGTCCCCTTCCCCTCAGCCTCTCTGAGTGTTAGGATTACAGGTGTGAACCGCCGCACCTGGCCATTTTGTCTTTTTTATTGTTGACTTTTTCCACATTTGTCCTTTCATCATTTTATTGACTTTACTGCTTCAGATTCCTTTGGGCTAATGGGAACAATGGACAAATACAGAGATAAAAGTACAGTTTAATCAAGCCTTTTAGAATAGTTTTGAAACTCAGAGTAAATAAGTAGTGGGAAGGGTCTGAAAGGTTCTCCCATAAAGCAAGTGTAGATTTTGTTTTTCATCCCATCTCCCTTTTGTATGGATTTGTACAATTTTGTAAAGTTGTTTATTTCCTCCTTTGTATCCTATACTTTAGTTGTTCCGATTACCTAAATAGGTAATATCCACGTACGTGTTTTATTATGCCTTTTTAATAAGTATTACTTGCTTGAGAGCAAACGATGATTTCTGTCAGCTCCTCATTAGATGTCTGGACTCTCTAAGAGGCCGGAGCAGTAGGATATTCTTACAGAGTCTGGGCAACAAGGTTTCCAGGCAGTTATGTTGTACAGGAAGCTTTCCCCTCTCAGGGCTGAAAATTTGGCACGTCCATGGTTTTTCTGCTCCCTTTTAGTCTTCAAATCTTCTAGGTCTCAAAACACTCCCCTTCAGAAAGGTCTAACTGTGTGACCCTCCCTCAAGCCAGGCCTCAAGTAGCTCAGTCTCTCCATATTGCGGGTGGCCATCCCAGAACCCTTCGCTTCCACTCTGGAAGCACACTGGTGGAGTTCAGGGTGTGCCAAGAGAACATCCAGTTTCATTTTTTTCAATTTTAACATTTTTTTTCTAGCTCGAATTTAGACTTACAGAAGAGTCGCAGAAGTACAGAGTTCCTGTATACCCTTCATTTGGCTTCCTTCTATGTCACCATCTTGCATGATAATGGAACATTTCTCACAGCTGAGAGATTGACTGCCACAATCCTGTCAACTAAAGTACCTCGTAAGAACCGATTGAGTTCTCGGTTCTCAGGAGTTTTTCCACTGATGTCCTTTTTCTGTTGCAGGATCAGTTGAGGATCCACATTGCATTTAGTTGTTGTAGCCCCCTAGACTTCCCCAATCTTTGACTGTTCCTGTCTTTGTCTTTCCTTTGTCTTTCCTGACCTTGACACTTCTGAGGAGTACTGGTCATTTATTTTGTTGACGTCTCAATCTGGGCTTGTCTGCTGTGCTATCATGATCAATCAGCCTGTGTGTTGTTGAGAAGGATGCCACAGAGGTGATGCTCTCTCATTGCCTCCTCTGGGAGGCTTCATTGTTTTGATGTGTATTCTGGTGATATAAATCTTGATTTCTGGCTAAGGTGTCAGCAAGGGTTTTCTGCTATCAACTTTACTACTTTTCTCATTGTAATATCAAATACTGTGGCAGAGATACTTTGAAACTGTATAAATAGCATTTCTGATTAAACTTTTACCTACTAAATTTAGCTTATAATCTGTGGATCTTGCCTGTGGCACTTACTACCTTGGTATTCTTTTTTTTTTTTTTTTGAGACAG